GTGATATCATGTAAAACTGAATTGTCTTCACATGACACTTAACATTCTTCTAAAATTGCCTGCTGGCTTGTAAATCCTCTGCTGAAGTGCTGTGCAGACAGTTACTATGTTCATCTTTAAATTTCTCCACCCTTGGCACATAGCACAATACTTGGTGCACTAAACACTACAAAGTAGTTGTTGGATTGAACTATACTGAGTTAAACTTTGCTAGGCCAAATGATAAGTCCATTTCTGACCTGTTGTTATTGAGAATTTTTGAATAGCAGACGTATACTTCTTCAGATCTAGAAATTAGATCATTAGACATATATTTTATCTTTCAACTGAATAGCTTACTCATGATAAAATGAATTCCTGGAAAGTAAGTGGAGTGCTTTTTTTGTGTGTGTATTTATTTTATTTTATTTTATTCTATTCTATTTTTTGCGGTACTGGGGATCGAACTCAGGAACTTGCACTCGCCAGGCAGGCGCTTATGCCACTGAGCTATATCCTCAGCCCGTAAGTGGGGTGTTGATGTCATACTTATGATTCATGCTGTATTTCATATGGTGTGTTTACATTGCTGGCCTACTGTTTTGATGTTTGCCCCATACTGTTAATAAATCTATCCAGAGCTATTTCTACCTGCTAAGCCTGATTTTACTGATCACTTTGTCATTAAAAATACACACTAATTAGAAAAAGATGAAGCAAAAACTGTATTTTCTGATCTGGTTACATGATACCCACAGTAAGTAAAATTGAATTAGACCCAGTAATGAGGCTTAAAGTCTATTTTATAAGTAAAATCCATACCATGCCAGCAGCATGCTGCAGCAGCACCATGAGGCACACACCAGCCAACATCATTGTCTCTGAGAAAATGAACCATTTATAATATTTGTGAATGCATATAGCTTACTTTATGAAATAGCTGTTATATACTACAGTTTAAATGAATATTATTATGTAGTTTTTGCAGAGTCAGAAGTTTTGTAACAACAGATATCTTTAGTCAGATTGACAATTTGTTTTAACAAACATCAGTTTCATCCTTTCCCTACAAAGGCAGACTATCCTAATTATTAATTCTTGAGATAGAATCTGAAGATATAGCACCTGTTTCTTTTGGCAGGACAAGAATTTGAGTTCTAAACAATAGATAAGAGTAAAACTTTGGTGATAATTCATATTACTGATATACATATCCAATTGTATGGACGTTAATGTGAAACCTTTCAAAAAATTTCTTTATGGTAAGGTTATGATACCACTGAGAAAAATCAAGCACGGATTAATAATCACACACCGGTGATAAGCTCTAAAGATGCATCCATCTAAAGAGATAAGTTTGAAGAAAGTGATGGATTTATGGTTCCATTACACTTCTATTTTAGATGTATATAACTTTCTGTTATTATAGAGTCATTGCAAAGTGTTACTTTAAAAACAATTCTCTTATTTTAAAAATTACTTTCTGAAATAAATACCTTTTTCCCATTAAATTTCATTCCAGTTCTTCATGACCACTAATTATTGAAGCTAGGCATTGTAGTCTAAGACTTTTGTCTGAAAAGTTGGATAACTTATCCTTCAGCCACTTCAAGTATGACATGATTTTGATTTCCTCAGTACCCTAGAAGCTTGTCTTGAATACAACCATTTATTTCTCATCCCATTAAAAGGTATTATGCCAAATGGGAGCTAAATGTTCCATGTATGATCAATTTTTTTGGTTTATCAGTATATTAGACCTAGACAATGCTGAGAAAGATATTTGAAATATATTTTAATAATAT